CCAATGGTTTCCAAAAAGAATGTTTTAATTTTGAGTTCTATTTTACATCACAACCTAGTATACATATACTTTGTAAAATAGCTAAACAAGCATTTCATGGAATAATACAAAAGACGGTGTGTTTTTACACGTTCTTTTTAATTACTTTAAATTCTAGTTGAAAGCTATTAAGTTGATTATATGACCCACAAATGGTTGCAACCTGCAGTTTGAAAAACAGTGTACTACAATATATACCTTTTAAAAATTAAAGAAAAATACTTTTTAAAAATTTTAAAGATACTTTCAAGTATTAAGGTCAAAATACTTACACTTTTATTTCAAAGTAATGGAAAGCAACTTATGAAAATTATCTACTATAAATAAAGTAATGTAAAATACTTTATGTAGCTACTGAATGTAGCTTCATGTAAAATAGAAGCTAAAAGCCTTTCAAATAAATGTTTAAAATTAATTTTATTTATTTTTTTTTTTGCACATTTAAAGAGCCTTTCCTAACGGCTGAAAATAATACCTCATTTGAAAAACAGGCAGACAGTTTGAGCAAACAATTTATAAAACAAGCTTTACTAAGTAATTCCATCCCCAGGAATTTAATGCAAGAAAATTATAGAACATAAACACAGAAAGGTATTTCTGGGGATGTTCACCTTAAGGTTATTTACAATAGTTGAAAATTGGAAGCCACCTAAATGTCCAAAGAAAGAGATGGATTAAATACACCATGACACTTAAAGTCTCCCCTCTGCCTCCCTCCTATCAACAGGTAATCACTGATATTTGTTCTTAAAACAAAAAAATCTTCAGAGATTTTTTTTCTTTTTTAAACACAGCCATATAGTACCCCCTTGTAGGACTATATAGATCAGTCCTCTATCGATGGGCATTTGCTTCTTTCAAATCTTTCACTGTTACAAACATCTTTGCAGTAAACAGCCTAGTATACACGTCCTTTCCTAAAGCTGAGATGGAATCTGTGAAGAAATTTACAGAAAGAGATTTACCAGTTCACAGCCTCCACATTAGCCTTCCCAGAGCACAAGAGATCAGCTTTCTCAAGGGCAGGAACAAAGTTCACTATTTCTTTTACATACCCTTATACAGAGTGGTAACAGGGTCCACATACACAGATGTGTAAAGGCCCAAGAATATCTCCACATACTTTCCTTAAGCTCTCTGAACTTTTATAACAGCTGATTTAACATCTTTGTCTAGTAAGTCTAATACCTGGGCCTCCTTGGGGACAGTCTCTATTGACTGCTTTTTTTTTTTTTTCTGAGTATGGACCATACTTTCCTATTTCTTTGGGTGTCTTGAATTTTTTTATTGCCAAGTGGACATTCTAAGTAATATAATATGGTAACTCTGGAAGTCAGATCACCACTGTCTCCCCTGGGTTTGTTGTTGTGGCTGGCTTTTTGGTTTTTGTTGTTGCTGCTATTTGTTTCTCTAGTGACTTTCCCAGACTAACTCTGAGGTCTGTATTCCCTGTAGCATGTGACCACCACTGTCTCCACTCAGTGAGCTTAGTGGTCAGCTAGATGACTGGATGGAGGTTTCCTTCAGTGCTCTGAACCAATATGGCTTCTACCCTTTGCTGAGGAGCTCAGTGCGTGATTAGGCGCACCTTCAGCGTTCAAACAGTCTACATGTCTGTCTTGGCCTTCACCTGCATGGGACCTCAAAGTCAGCCAGAGATGAGAGACTGGGGCCCTGTCGGGTCTTTCCTGGGCACAAACACAGTCCTGCATTTGTGTGTGGCCTTCTAGATTCCTGAAGCATTTCAAAGCCCACTACAGACATCTCGTTCCCCAGATCTTCCTTTTAGATTTTTGGCCAAGCTCTTGTTTGCTCCCCGTAGCATCACAGCCTCAGGCAGCACAGTGTTCAACAACTGCAGGTAATTATTTTAGATGGAAGTCCTAGGGACAGAGACTCCCCACAGAGCAATCTCTGAGGCAGGTCGAATAACAACTCCCTGGAACGGAGCTTTTCTGAGAAGCTGCAAGACAAGTGACAACGTTCTGGAGATGGGACCTTCTGAGGAACTCAACCAGTTTGCCCTTCCAGTGGCCACAAGGCTGCTGGTTTTTAAGGCTACTGTTGAACTGGGGAGAGGAGAAGGTGAATAGGGCAAGTTAAAATGCCACAAATCCTACTGTTCTTACCAATGTAGCCACTATGCTAAGCACTTCACTTCCAATACCCTATTTAATCTTTAACAACCCTATGAGGTTAGAACTATTACAATCCTATTTTACAGAAGAGGAAACTGAGGCATACAGACGTAAAGTAGCTTGCTCCAGGTCTCATGGCTAGTAAGTGACAATGTTGGTTTATGAACCACAATTTGTCTAATTCCAGAGTCTATTCTCAATTACTGTGCAATGTACTACTTTTCATTTGTGAGACAATAATTCAGAGAAATCCAGCTTAGGCAAAAGTGTTGCTGAATATGAACTCATGAGGGAGATCAATTATATATAAATTTTATAGAATATATATATATAAATTATCAATGGGTTCTTTTCCATAAATTAGTTGTTCTTAACCATGGTATGGATCTGAACCACGTGGAGCTTTTTAAAAGGATACCTGCACAACTTCCCTTTCTCCCTTACCATCAAGGATGTAACATTTTTTAAAGTTCTGCAGAATTCTGAAACTCAGTTCTAGCCAAGAACCACTGCATTAGAGTAAAAAATTCCTTAACACTAGAACTATATCAACTATTTCATCACCTAATTTCTGTAACAAGTGTTCACAAAGGAAAGATGCTTCTTAGAGAAAAAGGCATAAAGGAAAAAGCAGAGGTTTAGGAGTTAGATAGACTTAGGTTTGAATCTTAGCCTCCTCACTTGCTACTTGTATGACCCAGAGAACATTAATTTCTCTGAACTTTAGTTTCTTCATCTATAAAGTGGAAGTCAAAAAAAAATCTACCTCTTAGAGTTATTACAATAATAGATAACATATGCTGGGATGTAGTATGCACTCAAATGGTAGTTGTTACAGTTATTCCTGAAACTGACATTAGATTGAGAAATTCAGCAAATATTACTGACTGCCAACTCTGGTTACCTGAGTGATAACAGTCTTCCAAAAGCACAAACTCTAATAAAGGAAAGAGATATTCCCTCTAAAAAGGAAAACTGAGATGAATATTAACATAGAGAAGTATATTTAATATATCATGGGAAAATGGAGGAGGAGAAATAATTCTGATCTGAAAAGTGTTCTTAAAAGTGCAATGTGGGGCTTCCCGGGTGGCGCAGTGGTTGAGAGTCCGCCTGCCGATGCAGGGGACGCGGGTTCGTGCCCCGGTCCGGGAAGATCCCACATGCCGCGGGGCGGCTGGGCCCGTGAGCCATGGCCGCTGAGCCTGCGCGTCTGGAGCCTGTGCTCCACAACGGGAGAGGCCACAGCAGTGAGAGACCCGCGTACCACAAAAAAAAAAAAAAAATGCAATGTGAACAGTGCCTTGAAAGAAGAATAGTCAGATATGCTCCTTGGACCTGATTGCAGACCAATGGTTCTCAAACTTAAACATGCAACCAAATCACATGGAGGGCTTGTTAAAACACACATTTCTGAGCCACACCCCAGACTTTCTGAATCAGTAGATCTGGAGTGGGGCCTGAGAATGTGCATTTCCCAAGTGATACTGATGGAACCCTCTTAAAGAACCACCATTCGAGACAGAGAGAATGCTTGAGCAAAACTGACAAGTGATATACAGGGTATCCCTGAGCTCTAAGATGGCAGCTTCCAGGACATGGGCTCTGTGTGAGTGGTTAAGGAATATGGTCAAAAGCCTAGAAATGAAAATTTTCTAAACAAGACACTTCCTTCTCTAGTAAGAGATAGATTAATTACCCTTTCTAGGAAGGTGAGATGATGACGTTCAAGACTATGTATGGTGATGAATGCTAACTAGACTTACTGTTCAGGTGATCACTTCACAGTGTATACAAATATCAAACCATAATGTTGTATACCTGGACCTAACATATCAATTATATCTCAATAAAAATAAAATAAAATAAGAAAGTAGTAAGTAAAATAAAACTCACCTAAAATACAAAGAATGCATAAGCTCAATGTAATTAAGAAAACACCAGTCTGGGAATTCCCTGGCAGTCCAGTGGTTAGGACTCGATGCTTTCACTGCCAAGGGCCCAGGTTCAATCCCCGGTTGGGAACTAAGATCCCATAAGCCACATGGTGCAGACATACATAAATAAATAAATTAAATAATTTTTTAAAAATTAAATTAAAAAGAAAAAGAAAACACCAGTCGAACCCAAATTGAGGAACATTTTACAAAATACTTACCAGTACTTTTCAAAAGTATCAAGGTCATGAAAAACAAGACTGAGGAAATGTCAGACTGAAGGAGACTAAGGAGATATGATAACTAAATGCAATGTGGGATCCTGGATTGAATCCCAAAACAGAGACATTAGTGGAAAAGCTAGCAAAATTCTATAAATCTGTAGTTTTTTAGTTATTGAACCAATGTTAATTTCTGTGTTTTGATTATTGTATTATGGTTATATAAATTGAGAACAGTAGGGGAAGCTGAGTGAAGATTATACAGAAACTCTCTGTACTATTTTTGCAACTTTTCTATAAGTCAAAGATTATTTCAAACTAAAACGTTTAAAAAAAGACTAAGTTAAAATGATTTAACTACCCACTGACATGACATTTATTATCTCAACCTGGTATCTTTCAATTCCACTTCCTACTCCCAGCTTTGCATTGCACACATAATCAATAAGGTAATGAAGCAACAGACTTTGGGGCATATAGCTAATTAATGTTCAAAGAAGAGAAACACAGTGTCACTTATTCTTTATAGGTGAGAATATAACACTAACACATCCTGAATTTTAATATTTCACTTAGCATACTCTAGTTAAAATTCTTCGAAAAAACAAAGCTGAAACCTATTCAATAGTTTCACTTATAAATTTTAAAGAATGTTCCATACTCACCAAAACCATCAATATCAAGATTATTTTCAACCACAATATCTAGTAGAGTGTCACCAACTTTTCCTTTGCTTGTTAATGTTTCACCATCACGGTTTATAAAGTGGACTGTTATTTTATCTTCTGAGCTGGAAAAGGAAGCAGTCCTTTATTATTTTTAATAATTTCAAAAGATACTTTAAAATAATTGTTCTAAGAACCTGTAACGTCAAAAAATAGGTTGTGTGTGTGTCTGCGTGCGTGCAAATATCCTCCTTTACGGTATTTTCTTTTCTTTCCCAAGTTTGTTTGGGAAGGAGACACCACAAACCACAGGCATATCTATCTACCCACCTACCAGGAGGGAAGCTCTGCCACCTTAAAGGAAATAGCAAGTACATCACTATCAAGGCCACCTGTAGTATGTGTCTCCCCAGTGGTCACTCTCAGGTCACAGTTACATGAAATGCTTAGCAATCATTATCACTCGTGAAGTCTGCTTCGCTCTCACATAGCTCTCTGAAAAACAATGTCTCTATGAATGTGTCCCTAAAAGACTAGGTGACGGTTGTGGAGAGCTTTAAAAACAAATCATTCTGCTATTGATAAGGCAATTGTTATGCAAGTGTCTGATAAGTATGGTCACTGAGAGCCAGCAGTTTGATAGTTTTCTGAGTATTTGAACATCTCATTTTGGTCCATATAGTGTACTCGAAAAACAAAGGGACTAGAAAAAGGGTTTTCTTTGCTTGAATATGTCAGAAAATAAATATAATATCTCCTTACATGTTTCATTACTATAGGATATCTATCAGCTAGTTATCAGTTAGCTAACTTAAATTTCTTACCCTTCTCACAAACATCAGTCCAAAGTTTGGGAAAAGAAATCATATTATTATTGGGCTTCCCTGGTGGCGCGGTGGTTGGGAGTCCGCCTGCCGATGCAGGGGACACGGGTTTGTGCCCCAGTCTGGGAGGATCCCACATGCCAGGGAGTGGCTGGGCCCTTGAGCCATGGCTGCTGAGCCTGCGAGTCCGGAGCCTGTGCTCCGCAACGGGAGAGGCCACAACAGTGAGAGGCCCGTGTACCGCAAAAAAAAAAAAAAAAAAAAAAAAAAAGAAATCATATTATCAACTAGATACTTATCCTCCACTACTGGTCATTTAAATTTTTACCTATCAATTGAAAAGATGTACTTCAGCTTAAACGAATTAGTTGTAATTTTCACTACTGCCAATAGATGGTAATAGTCCATCAAAGAAAACGTTGTTTAGTGTAAGTAAAACCTAGAATTACATAATTTCAGAGCTATAAATATCTTGCAAATTACCAAGTCCATCATCTCATTTCCCAAACAAGGCAGCTGAGGCCTTATCAGATAATGTCGTCCTTGATAACTCAATGCTGAAAAATGAGGATCCTAGTAATTAAAAATTTTGATCAGAAGTGTGTGTGTGTGTGTGTGTGTGTGTGTGTGTGTGTGTATGAGAAAGAGAATGTCCCTTAAATGGGCATGTGCTCTCCGACTTCTTTTCGTAGCAAAAAATGCTTTAAAGCAAGTATTCCCAAACATTCGTGATTTTCAACTAGGCAACTGCTATTTTTTCACAGAAAAATGACTAGGAATGAAGATACTCTGGAGGCACGGAGACCACACTGGAGGTTATTGAAAGGGCATAAACAAAGCAGGAACATGGGAGACACTGATCTGAGAGATATTCAGGAGGCAGAATTAAAAACTTTTGGGGAGGGAAGAAATAATGTTGAAATTTCTAGCTCGGACAATGAGGGAGTACAGTTTAACTTAAGGTTAACTTAGGAGGAGAAGGAGCTTTGGGGAAGATTGGAAATGAGTTCAACTTTAGACCTGTTTGATTTAATAATAAACAGATGCAAATGTCCAGAAGCCTGATGGAAATATGGGTCTGAGATTTGGGCCTAGAGATTTGACATCAAAAAATGCCTGGTAGCCTAAGGTACAAGAAGTGCAGCAGAAAGAATTCCATCATTTATACACACTACTGAAGGTCGGAGGTTTGGGCACTGCTGCTCTTCTGCAGCACTCTAGAGATGAGCTACAGCCAAGGAATTGCAACTCTGACGTCAGACTCCTCTTCTGTAAAATCAGGGTAACATTTATCTCATAGTTTTGACAACATATGCAAAATTCCTAACATACTGTAGAGCTCAACAAACACTGATTGATAACTTTTATTTAAAGCCCCGGTCCTTTTGTTGTTAAGGAGCCTGAACTGCTGCTACATATTAAAAAAGGTGTACAGCCCCAGAAAAAAACTGCAGAGTAAGAGTAATAGGTTTATCAATGAACAGGAGAGGAAGCAGAAACGAGAGAGAAAAAGTAATTTTTCAGCTGAGAAAGTATGGAATATAAGATGTAAGAGTCAGAAGACGTAGATTCTAGCCCTGGTTCTGACATACGTATACTCATTAGGTGATCATGGGTAAAATGGCAACAACAGTGACTTCACCCAGCTGCTGAGAGAATTAAAGGAGAGAAAGTTTGTGGAAATATTTTGTTCCTTAAAGCATTATACACATGCATTTTATCCAGGTAACTTTATCCATTCACTATTAACAAGTGGTATTTGTGGGTTTTGTACAGTTTTCTTCCCCAATTCTAAGAACTAGCAAAAAGCTTCTAGCTGTTCCCAAAAAGGATAAGATTTCATGCACTGGGAAATAATTAGGATCCTTCTAAATCCTCTATCATCAACGAGTTAGCCAGCACCACAAACAACTATTTTCTTCACTTGTTTACCCTTTATGCACCGCCATTTATTCTGCTCAACCACAGCAGATATTTTGACAAAGTTCTCCAGGGGCTGCTGTGGTAAAGCTCTTAACAGACTTCTAAAAGGGAGAGGAGTTATGGCTGCTGATGCCCACCCTTTCACTATGTGGGGTAGCCTGGGGTAGTCGGTCCAAGAAAAGGGCCCCGTCTAGGGCTCCCCACTTCCATAGCCACCTTAACTCTTCCAAATGACCCTATGGGCTAAAGAATTATCAACTCTAATGGTGCTCAAAAAACAAACAAAAACTATGTGAGTTCTAGTCCTAGTTTTGCATGCTACTTAATATAAATTTTTATTCTCGTTTATCTACCTCACCTATCAAGATTTCCTTAAGAGTCAAGGGAAATAATACATGTGAAAGCCCTTTACAACCTAAATCACTACTAAATATAAAGTACTATATCAGGGTATTTTGGAGTAAAAGGAGTTTTTCGACTCTCAATTACTGAAAACTTATCTAAATGTTAAACTTCAAAGTCAGAACTACAGCTTCTAGACTGTTCTGTCCAAACTTTGTTCAATAACAGAGATGTTCTATAGCTGTGATGTCCCAGACAGTAGCTTCTAACCATGTGTGTTTACCCAGTACTTGAAATGTGGCCAGTGGAACTGGGAAAATGATTCTTTAATTTTATTTAACTTTAATTATCTTAAATTTAAATGACTACATGTGGTTAGTAGTGACCATATTGTATAGCATAAGTCTTAGATAATAAGAGTCAGAAAACCTAGTTGTAGCTCCAAAGTCTGTGATAGGAAGCACAGGGCACCAATGGAAACCGTGCCAATGAGGGGGAAAGCAGGTTTATAAGGGAGCAGACAGATGTGCTTCCCTTTAAGATAACTTGATGTACCAATTCAAACAGTAAATTGGGGGGATATAATTCCCATTTACAAAAGCAATCATGTTCCTTTGAATACTAGTTACACAAATACGTTCAACATATGTCCCAATTTATACACAAACTTTCAAGAAAGCATACAATGCAGAAAACAAGGCATCCAGGCAGAGGAAGGTCAAAGACAGGAAAGTGTAACGGAAACAGGGACAAAACCCCTGCTTGCCTTCCCCATTATCTCCCTCGCAGTTCATGCAACAAAAATGTATTGAGCACCCACTATATTATGGGATTACAGGGGGAAAGATGAGTAACTCCTCCACCCTATTCTCAGGAACCTCATGAAGAAGAAACTAGAGAGGAATACAAATCCAACCCTTTCTCCCTGCAGCTCCTTCTTGCTGCTACACTACAGCAGGGAGTCAAAGAGCTGTTCTGAGATCTGCATTATATAAAGTGCCAACACAGTGCTATACTCTGAAATTATGAGGAAATTTTCTATTATATCTAAGGGGATTCTGTCTTTGAGAAACGAATCTGCCGAAGAATATAAGACTGCAACATATTTGGGGCAAATTTTCTCTCACTTCTTTCGACACTTAATACAAAACACAACGCTGTGAGCCTACGAGGCAGCTGACGCTAACAGGTGGGATCTACTGAGCCCTCGCTACGGGCCAGACACAAGACTCCCTGCATTACCTGTCTGCTCTCATTTGTTCTTCAAATAATTGTGAGGCCGACACGATTATTATCCTCCACTGACGTTAGACAAACTGGACAATAAGTGTCAAACCCCAGTTTAAAACCCTGCCTTGCCAGTCCAACGCAGGGGCTTTTACCCCGACAACAACCAGAAGAGAGCAAACAGGGAAGCTCGGGGACAGAGCGGGTGTATCCTAAATGGACACGGATTTGGAGACAGAACGTCCTGACCTAGCAGGAGGAAGGCACGATAAGAAACTGCAGGCCAGGACACGAACGGGGCGCATCTTACGAAGGTCACCGCGGTTTCGAGCATAGCAAAGGTTAGATCCTCGCCAAACCGCACGGAGAACCAGCGGCAGCAAAGTGCCCGGTTTTCCTGAGGGCACAGGAGGCACTGGGACAAGGAGATCGGGGATCCCGGGACCCCATTCCCCTCCAGGTGTCAGTGGATCTGAAAGGCAACTTGGCAACGGTAAGGAAAGGAGGCCGTGACCACACCGAGCGACCTGCCGGGGACTCGGAGAAGGCGGAGCAAGAGGCGGGCGGGGCCGGGCGTGTGGGCCGCACGCCGTCGCCGGGAGAAGCCGACGGAACCGGAAAGAGGGCGGAAGGAGCGCGGCCGTTCTGCCAGGGACCCAACGCCCACGCGCCCCCTGCGCCTCACCTGCTCGGCGCGCGCGCCGACACGCTCAGCGCCCGCGTCACCGCCGCTGCGCCGCCGCCCAGGCCGGGCCTGGCGCTCCCGCCCTGCCCTCGGCTCCCCCGGAGGCCGCCGGCTCCCGCGCGGGGTCCGGCGAGGAGCAGCCACCGGCCGGCTGTGTCGCCGAGGGCGGCGGAGGCGACATGCAGGAGACGAGCGGCCATAGCCGGTCGGATAACTACGGGAGGCGACGCAGGCCGCACGGCAGCGGCCACGAGAGGGAGGCTTCAAGACTGGGGGCGGGCTGACGCTGCGCCTGCCTGACGCCCGGGGTCCCGACGAGGGCCTGCTCAGCGCACCGCCAAAGCTCCGCGCGCCTTCCGGCTGACCTATAAATCCCGAGGGCCGCGAGCGCAGCCCCGCCTCCCAGGCGTGGTTATAGAGGCGGGGCTACGCGCCTTGTTGTTCTACCTACTGACCAGGTTTTGTATTGATCTTGCTGCTTCTGGAGTTGCCAAGCAAGAACAATAAATTTTACAAGATAGCTGAACGTCTGACGGAAAGATACAGTAAAACAATCCCCAGTTAACTAAACCACTTTCTTTTGTCCTGCGCTTCCCTCCTCCTGCCCATTAAGAAAAAAAAATGGGAGATTGTCATCTTGGAGTTCAAAAACTATGATAAAAGGGAATTCTAGCCATTGTCAACAAGGACAGTGGAAATTTCAGAAAGCCAATAGGCAGACACCCAAGAGAATAACTATGACTATAAAGTTATAAATGATCACGGTAATGAATAAACGAGGATACCGAAGAAGGCAGATAATGATCCTAGGCTTTGAATAACAAATAGATACTCGTTGAGCACCTGAAATCCATGAGCCTGAACAGGAAACTGGTGAACTGAGATTTCTTTAAAGAATTTTTAAAAACCAGGAACATGAATTTTAAAATACACTTTATCACGGTTAATAGGTTGTGGTGGGAAAAGCATGGGCTTTAAGGTCAGAAATAGCGATGTTCAAATCCAAGGTCTACCACTTCTGAGCTCTGAGACCTTGGATAAATTATTCTTTTAGAGGGTCAGAATCTCCATAACAGTTTTACATGGATAAGATGTTCCATCCTTCAGGGCCATCCTGAGGGTTAGAAAAACTGACAGGCAGGATGGGATAGTGCGTCACAAAGAGCCATAACTTTTCCTGGGCCTTCCTGCCTAAGGCTACTCTTCAAAGGCTAAAGTCAGGTGGTTATTGCAAATATGCTAAACACAATAAAAGATACTTTAAAGAATATTCAGAACAAGAAAGTACAGGCCTCAGTAAAGTCCCTCGAGACAATGTATGGTGAGTTCTGAACCTGAGGGCAGAGAGTCTGCAGTCATTTGGCTCGTAAATTGCCTCAGTCTTCTGGTAAAGAGAAAGACGTTCGAGTTGAACCAGTCACAACAAACCCTGCAAGTAATCCGGAAGAGGAGGTTGTAAGAGAACAGTTAATCTTTTTTTTATAAGGTCAAATCTCCAAAGTCAGATGAATGACTTGTAGGAGGAGAACTGGAAAAAAAAACAAACCAAAAAAACCTGCTGCGATTGATCCCTCTCCTCTCAGCCCTCCTAGTGTAAATCCAGCTTCAGCTCCGTTAGGGCACTTACAGCTCTCTGCTTTGTGGGGTAGTTGCTTGTATACATAGTTCATCTTAGTAGGCCCCACACTGCCAGGGACAAGGCCTTGAGCTTATCAAGGTTTCAATAAGTATTTGTGAATAAATGAATACTGTCATGTAATTTCCATTAGTAATCATCAGAATTCATGAATCATGTGCATGAAAATTAAAGATGAATAAAAAAAGGTTTTCCAGATTTTCAAAGGCCAGTAAGGGTAGATTCCAAAAATTACAGATATCAAGATTCGGCAGTATTCCAGAGGGAATTTATAAACATATGGTTTGTGAACACAGATAAAAAAGTGATACGGAATTACGGAGGACAAGCTTTTGCTTGCGTATTTCTCTGTCTTATGAAACTCCCACCCTTCCATCTTTCACTCCTGTCAAAATCCATCTGTATTCTGAAACTCAAATAAAATTCCATCTTTCTCATGAAGTCATGCTTACTCATCACAAGAGATCATCCCTCCCTCTGCTGAATGCCTAAGACCTTTGTTTATTCTTGTAAAATGTATGGTACCCATTGTTTCAAATAGGATAATGTTCATGAAAGTGCTTTGTAAACTGTAAAGTGTTATAAAATTTAGGTTCAATGTTTATAGAGCACCTACTCTGAGCTTCGCAGTACCTTGTGCTCCATCACAAATACTTTGTGTAGCTCCTTTAGACTGAAGCTCCCAAGAGTAGGAAGGATGTCTTATTCATCTTCATATCCCCAGCAGCTGGCATAGTTCCTAGCACAAAGCAGCCATTTAATAGTATCTTTGTTAAGAACTGTGTTAGGAACTTTCTCAATTTTTTTAAATTAAAGTATATTTGATTTACAAAATTGTGATTGTTTCAGGTATACAGCAAAGTGATTCAGTTATATATATTTTTTCAGATTATTTTCCATTATATGTTATTACAAGATATTTAATATAGTTCCTTTTGCTACACAGTAAATCCTTTTTGCTTATCGATTTTATGTATAGTAGTTTGTATCTACTATCTAATCCCATACTCCTAATTTATCTCTCCCACCCTCGCTTTCCCCTTTGGTAACCATGTTTGTTTTCTATGTCTGTGAGTCTGTTTCTGTTTTGTATATAGATTCATTGGTATTACTTTTTAAATTCCACATATAAGTGATATCATGTAATACTTGTCTTTCTTTGTCTGACTTACTTCACTAGGTATAGTAATCTCTAGGTCCATCCATGTTGCCACAGATGGCAATATTTCATTCTTTTTTATGGCTAATATTCTATTGTATATATGATAACCACATCTTCTTAAACCAGTTGTCTGTTGATGGGCACTTCGGTTGTTACCGTGTCTTGGCTATTGTAAATAGTGCTGCTATGAACATTGGGGTACATGTATATTTTTGAATTCGAGTTTTCATCTTTTCTGGATATATACTCAGGAGCGGATTGCTGGGTCATATGGTAGCTCTATTTTTAGTTTTTTAAGGAACCTCCATATTGTTTTCCATAGTGACTGCACCAATTTACATTCCCATGAACAGTGTAGAAGGGTTCCCTTTTCTCCATACCCTCTCCAGCATTTATTGTTTCTAGATTTTTTGATGATGGCCATTCTGACCGGTGGGAGATGATATCTCATTGTAGTTTTGACTTGCATTTCTCTAATGATTAATGATGTTGAGCGTTCTTAGATAAGTGATATTGAGTATTCTTTCATGTGTTTGTTGGCAATCTGTATATCTTCTTTGGAGGAATGTCTATTTAGGCCCATTTTTGGATTGGGTTGTTTGTTTTTTTGATATTGAGCTGCTTGAAAATATTGGAGATTAATCCTTTGTCAGTTGCTTCATTTGCAAATGTTTTCTCCCATTCTGAGGGTTGTCTTTTGGTCTTGCTTATGGTTTCCTTTGCTGTGCAAAAGGTTTTAAGTTTCATTAGGTCCCATTTGTTTATTTTTGTTTTTATTTCCATTTCTCTAGGAGGTAGGTCAGAAAGGATCTTGCTGTGATTTATGTCATAGAGTCTTCTGCCTATGTTTTCCTCTAAGAGTTTGATAGTGTCTGGCCTTACATTTAGGTCTTTAATCCATTTTGAGTTTATTTTTGTGTATGGTGTGACAAAGTGTTCTAATTTCATTGATTTACATGCAGCTGTCCCGCTTTCCCAACACCACTTATTGAAAAGATTGTCTTTTCTCCATTGTATATTCTTGCTTCCTTTGTCATAGATTAATTGACCAAAGGTGTGTGGGTTTATTTCCGGGTGTCTATTCTCTTCCATTGATCTATATGTCTGTTTTGAGCCAATACCATGATGTTTTGATTACTGTAGCTTTGTAGTATAGTGTGAGGTCTGGAAGGGTTATGCCTCCAGTTTTGTTCTTTTTTCCTCAGGATTGCTTTGACAATTCTGGGACTTTTGTGATTCCATATAAATTTTAGAGTTATTTGTTCTAGAAACTTTCACAATTTTTATCTCATTTCATTAGCACAGCAACTCTGTAGAGTAGACATGCCTTTAATCAGTAAATATTTATTGACATTAGCAGTGTTTAAATCACTATGCTAGTGCTGGAGACACAGCAGTGAACAAAACAATCCCTGCCATCTTATTTTAAAGATGAACCTAGTGAGGTGCACAGTGGTTGTGACTTTCTTAGAATTATACTGCTATTAAATTGTGAATCCAAGATTTAAGTCTAGGTCTTCCTGGTCCCAAGCCCAGGACATAAGCACAAGAAATGACCATTTTATTATTTTTATTATATTTAATTATATATATATATATATATATATATATATATATACACATACATACATATATTCACTCTAAGAAATTACTCATTCCACTCCCAGGTGATTTATTAATATGACTGATGATATTGGTGGGTTTTCTAACTTAAATTAAATCACTGATATTTAAATAAATTGCTGATAACTGGTAACCTTCCCCTGACGCTGGGAGCCAAGATTGCCGCCGTGTCCTGCCTGCCGTCTGCTCTACATGATGGGGTGTTGCTCCAGGACCTTGCTTTAGACATGGGCGGTGGAAAGATGGCGGAGGAGTAAGACGCGGAGATCACCTTCCTCCCCACAAATACACCAGAAATACAACTACATGTGGAACAACTCCTACAGAACACCTACTGAACGCTGGCAGAAGATGAACGCTGGCAGAAGACCTCAGACCTCCCAAAAGGCAAGAAACTCCCCACGTATCTGGGTAGTGCAAAAGAAAAAATTAATTAAAAACAGAGACAATAGAATAGGGACGGCACCTGTACCAGTGGGAGGGAGCTGTGAAGGAGGAAAGGTCTCCACACACTAGGAAGCCCCTTCGCGGGCAGAGATTGCGGGAGGCGGAGCGGGGAGCTTCGGAGCCGCGGAGGACAGCACAGCAACAGGGGCGCGGAGGGCAAAGCGGAGAGATTCCCGCACAGAGGATCGGCGCCGACCGGCGCTCACCAGCCCGAGAGGCTCGTGTGCTCACCCGCCGGGGGCGGGCGGGGCTGCGAGCTGAGGCTCGGTTTCGGTTTCGGTCGGAGCTCAGGGAGAGGACTGGGGTTGGCGGCTTGAACATAGCCCGAAGGGGTTAGTGCGCCACGGCTAGCCGGGAGGGAGTCCGGGGAAAAGGCTGCACCTGCTGAGGAGGCAAGAGACTTTTTCTTGCCTCTGTGTTTCCTGGTG